GGCGGGCGAGCGTGGAGGTGAGCGGGGCGAGCGGGGCGCTGGTGGTGAGCTCGCGGCTGGACCGGGAGGAGCTGTGCGGGAAGAGCGCGCCGTGCTTGCTGCGGCTGGAGGTGCTGGTGGAGCGTCCGCTGCGCGTCTTCCACGTGGAGCTGGAGGTCACGGACATCAACGACAATGCCCCCATCTTCCGTGTGAACGAAGAAGCCCTTAACATCCCGGAATCGTCTTCGGTGGGGTCTCGTTTCCCACTGGAGGGCGCATCGGATGCAGATATCGGAGCGAACGCTCAGCTCTCCTATACACTCAGCCCCAGCGAGCACTTCAGTCTTGATACTCGGGGAAATAATGACGAGGGTGCGTCTTTGGGTCTTATTCTAACGAAATCTCTGGACCGCGAGACGATGTCGGTGCACCGATTGGTGCTGACGGCGAGTGACGGGGGCCGGCCGTCGCTGACAGGAACGATGGAATTGGTGATCTCGGTGCTGGACGCGAACGACAACGCACCGCAGTTCAACCAGTCTGTTTATAAAGTTAAAGTCTTGGAGGGCTCAGAGCTCGGAACTCTCTTAATCACGCTTAATACCACCGATCCAGACGAAGGGACCAATAGTGATATTATATACCTATTTGGTAGGCATGTCACTACAGAAGTTAAAGAAATGTTCACTATCGATGAAATCAAAGGAGAAATCAGGCTTCAAGGCAAGTTAGACTATGAAGAAATGGATAGTTACGAGATCCCCGTAGAAGCAAGAGACAAAGGCTCCCCCGCGTTGTCGGGTCACTGCAAGGTGGTATTGGAAGTGCTAGACGCGAACGACAACGCGCCGGAGGTGTTGGTGACATCGCTGTCGGTGCCAGTGCCCGAGGACGCGTCGGTGGGGACGGTGGTGGCTGTGCTGAGCGTGTCGGACCGGGACTCGGGGGCGAACGGTCGTGTGCGGTGCTGGGTGTGGCCGTCGGGTCCGTTCGGTCTGGAGGCGACGTTCTCGGGGTCGTACTCGCTGGTGCTGCGGGAGGCGCTGGACCGGGAG